GATCCAAAGAGGAAGATCAGCCCACGGGCGACTCGTTGGATGAGAAAGAAGGCAAAGAACATTGACATGCTTGACCCGCGAGAGAGAAGTTCCTTTGCTTTTTGCTCTGAAAAATGACCCCCCCCATTTGTTGTCACTTTTTATTTTCCTTAGTCTAGTTTAGTTCAATTCTAATTTCTGCTTTTTAAATTTATGTCTTTCAAATCTGTCTTTGCATATTTTTCTTTTTGTAGTTCAATATGTGAATCTTCCCCCTGAATTTAATGCAAAGAAAGTTGTTAGCAATGCTGTGTTCTCATCATCTGCCCTTTGCCCTGCCCTCTATATTTAGTCTCGATGCTAGAGCCTGCTAGTGCGCAGTTTTTCTTGTTGATGCTGGAGCATTTTCATGGGTGTTAGCTTGCTTTTGTTCTCGCTCTGTTCATGTTTGCCTGCCCATGCCCTAGCATCCCTCTAGTACTACTGGCCTCAGGTAGCGCTTACCCTTGGGAGGAATTCCATGACTATCTATCTAACGCCAACCCTTATCTTTGTATAGCTAGCATGGACCTCTTCTATTAGATCCCCTTAGTTGTAGCAGTAGCCATGAGTCTATATCTTGATAACGAACATCCTCATGCTTCTCAATTACTTTCGCTTTAAGTTTGGGGGTGTGCTGACGCTTTACATTCCAAGTGTCCTTACCTGAATTTAAGACAATGCAACCTTTTATGTTTGGGGAAGTGAACTTTTAGTTCTTATACCTTTATTAGTATTTGTATACAGTCATGAATATTTTTAATCTTATAATTTAGCCCTTAAAAAAAAAACTCAACAAATCAGGGGCTAGTAACCCGCATCCAGAGTATAAAGTCTTTGGGATTAGGAAGGGCTAGTAGCCCATGGTTAAAAAAGCCCAAGTTGGTAGTGCAAAGTTTAAAGGTTAAGGCTAGTGAAAGGGGCTTGAGAAAGAAATCTCTAGGAGAAGTTAAGCTTGAGGTTCAGAAGTAGAAGGAAGCTAAAGTTGGTCAGAAAATAGCATCTTCCATAGTGTGAACAAACTTAGGTTGCTTTCATTTCTTAGCTCCAGCTAAAGTACTTTGGTAGAGTATGTAAGTTCTAGCAGTTTTGATCAAAATGAAAGGTTAAGGCATAGGGCTGGATGCTTGAAGTACAAGTTTATGACATTCTTCTTTTGCGAACAAAGGTAAAGTGAAAGCTCTTACTTGGGGACAGACAAGATTTTAAGTTTGGGGGTGTGATAACTCTCCAAAAGAGAGTTATTCTAGTGTATATTTGGGTGATTTTATACAAAGAAATATCAAAGTGTGTCGGTTTTAGCTTGTAAACATCATGAAAAATCTTATAAATCGAACTTCGAGCTAAAATTCCAGATCTTGAATGCTTTGGCTAAAAATTGTGCTAACCTCTCTTATTTTTGGGTTAAATGCACAGGTTTGGAAAAAGAAGACAATGCATGAAGAGGGTGCTAAGCCCAGAGGGAGTAGATGAAGCATGTTCGAGGTAGAGCAGACGAAAGTTGGAGCGAAGCAGTGCTGGAGCATGGAATTATTGCGCAGTAACAGACGAACACGGGAATTTACCATGTCCGTACAATCTTTAGCCGAGTGCCCTAAAAACGGAACCCGATATAAAAGGGACATGTTGCCTTAGCCACCACACAGAGAACCCAATAGAAGCACGTTATTGAGAGCTGAAACAACAAGGAGGAGGATTCTCTTCATTTTTGGGGGTAGAAAGCTGACGACATAAGGGGTATTCCTGTAACGCCCCGAGTCCCTCAGGTTAGTTAGTCTCGAATCAGGAGATTTTCATTTAATTTTTTAAATTAAACTTTAATTAAATTTGTACATATCGGGTTCCGCGGGATTGGTTTTATCTTAGGTTGGGATGGGTTTTTTTTTCCTCTCTTGGGCTTGGTCATGTTGGGCTTTTATTGGGTTGGTTTGGTTTTAAAACAAAGGAAAAT